CATTAGGATACAAGGAAAATGATACACATGTGTTAAGCACTAAGCAAAGAATAAAACAAAAAATTTTGCTTTTACCAAAACAAGTTCCTCTGGCAAGTCATTCCATCTCCGAATAGCGCATGAAAAAAAAAGGTACTTCAAGATGTCAGTTTTTGGTGACAGAGGTCTAACCCTTCTTGAGTAATCCTGTCAACGAGAGATAAAGTGTGGTAAAAGTAAATATGTCTCTTTGTTAATGTCGGATATTTCATAATAAATCGCATGTAATAGTTTTAAACGAGAGCATAGACGTCGAAATTGGGAATGCTGACACTTAAGCTTAATTTTGAGATCGGTCACATTCCAACGCCACCTATAAAAAATCTGGACGAATCTGGCAGATATGTTTTGAATTCGTCCTATATTATCATTTAGATACTACTCGTAGGAATCCCAAATTTCAGAAGCACTTTCGAGGATTGACCTGATGTTCATAAGCTACAAGAAATTTTCAACTTCACGAGGCAATCTCTAAAATTGCGTTTGATGAATCCCAGCATCCGGTTAGCCTTAGCGGTCATGTAATCAATATCGTGGTTCCCAGAGAGATTACGAGGAAAAAACACGCCTTAGTATCTTGCATGCAGTGACAGTCTGATACCGATGTTATTGATGCAGTAGATGCTCATGAGGGGGTTATTTTTTTAGTCAATATGACAAAATGGAATTTCGCACATTCAAATCAATCCCCCATGTGGAGCACCAGGCTATATGATTAATGTCCCCCTGGAGAGACATACAATCATCAAGATCGATTACTTCTCGATAAACAACACAGTCATCTGCATAAAGGCCTACAAGCATAGATCAGAAAATGTTTCGAACAATATCATCAATAAATATTAAAAACAAAAGTGGTCCTAAAACAGAGCCTTGGTGCACATCAGGAGTGACCCGGATAAAATTAGATGATTTGCCATTAATTAGCACTGATTGGGTCCTACCACTTAAAGAATCAGCTAACCATCCAAGAACGTCATCCGATATTTTAAAGACCTTTATTTTGTGACGAATAAATTTGCGTGGAACAAAGTCGAAAGCTTTCCAGAAATCAAGAAAAATACAATCAGATTGAACGCCTTTGGCATATGGGTTTGCCAGGTCTTGAAAAAAACTCCACCGACTGAGCCTGGCCGGAACCCATGTTAAAATGGGGTGAAGAAATGGTTCGAGTGTAGACGTTGTACAATGCTATAGTCGGTTACAAGTCAAGAAGGTAGGAGAAGCTCCTCTCACAAGCGTGATGCGCCCGTTTTAAATCCATCCGCAGTCGAAAGAACAGTTCACTGCAAACGCCCCTAGTTAAGATAGTGATGCCAACTTGTCTCCGACCCCCATTTTTTAAAAAAAGCGACCTTTGTATATATCAGAGAGGGAACCGAGCCCTTGAAGGTGGCCTTTGTATACATCGGAGGGGGAACCTAACCCCCCCCCCCAAAGTCGTATTTGTTTCCATCGGATAGGGAAAACTCTAATCTCCCTCTCGTGGCTTCCACAACGCTAAGTAAAAGTCGAAAGATAAAGCAAATATTTATACACAAACTCAACTCTCCTACGTCACGCCGCGGTGGTGGCGCGCCGGACGCACTTCCGGTCTGGGGCGGTGGGCAGAAGTCGTCGTGCCAGACATGCATTCCTGTGTTCCCTTGGAAGAAACGAGACAAAACACCTGCCTTCTCGTCAAAATGCTGCGATGGAGGCTGTACCAAGAAAGTCTGGAAATGTATGAAGATCAGTTTTCATGTGTTTTTGCCCCCTCCGTTCTTCCGAGAACGTAGATAGTAGTCGTGAAAAGGGCTAACCAGACGCTGTCGAACTTCGATTGCGTGTGCGGGCAACACTTTGTGGTCGCCAGATGTATTTGCTTTGTTCCAACATAAACGAGAGAAAACCGCCAAGTTGTCCGAACCACCCACGGGTTCAGTGCGTCTTCGAATTCACACGGCCGCCTGATCGTTCGAACTTTCGTCTGCTCTTTCAAACGTCTGCTTTTTGTCGTCTGCTCGTTCAAACAAAAGCGGCCCGTAGACCAAACTTTGACCCGGTGATTGCAATAAGAAGTAATTACAGGCCTCAAAAGACTTAAGTAGGCTCGGTGTAAACAGTAGATACAATATGCTGATCATTGGTACCAATGGCCATCACCGACTTGTTACGCTTGGTCTGTTCCCGATTCCGATTTTCAGTTTCGACGTCGATCATCGCCGCTACCTTTTACACTTTTGCAACACGAGCGACGTCGCTACCGAAAATGGCTGGAAGAATCTCATTATGGTTTTGGCGTCCCTTCTGCGGCGTTCATGCGAATGAATCGCCGCACGTCAAATTATTTACGGAATGTTTAGCGGCGTAACGAGCCTTGATAATTTCGCTTAGGCGATTAAAGTGGTAGGACATTGCGATGAGGACACAGAATCGACAATTCCAACGCGAAAAAGAGTATGCAGACTCACACAGACGCCGACAACGTGACATTCGAGTGGTTTGTTGACGCGGGACGGCGGTGCTTCGCGTACCCCATTACGCATGCGTTCGAACTGTCGTCTGCTCTTTCAAACTTGGATACTTTTTGTCGTCAGCTCGTTCGAAAGACAGCGGCCCGTAAACCAAACGTTGACCCGGTAATTGCGATAAGAACTAAGTGCAGGCCTCAAAACACTTTCGAAGGTTGGTTGGGGTAAGTAGGCTAAGTGTAAACAGATACAAGATGTTGATCATTATTGTTACCAGTGGCCATCACCGACTTGTAATGCCCAATTCTACTTGCGGTTTTCAGTATCGACGTCCACCATCTCAGCTACGGTTCACGCTTTTGCAGTCCGAGCAACGTCGCGTCTAAAAAGAGCGATCAGAATCTCATCGTGGGAGTCAGGCTTTAGCGCCCATTCTGCGGCGTCCACGTGAAATGAATCGCCGCACGTCACATTATTCACGCAGTGTTTTGCCTCGTTAGTTTTGCTGAAGCCGCTCAAGTAGTCAGAGATTGTTAAGAGGACGTAGAATCAACAGTTTCAACGCGAAAACGAGCATGGGGACTCCCACCGACGCCGACAACAATGCAATTCAATGGTTTGTTTAGGGGCGACGGCGGGCTTCTTGCCCACCATCCACAGCGCATGCGCGGCGCCGGTGGCGTCCGCTAGGGGCGCTCCGGTTTGTTTGTAAACATGAGTTAACTCATATCTGTTACGTCACGGCGCGGTGGTGGCGCGTCGGTCGCACTTCCGGTCTGGAGGTGTGGGCAGAAGTCCCCATGCCAGACGTGTATTCCTGCGTTGTTTTGAAAGGAACGAGACAAAAACTTGCCTTCTCGTCAAAGCGCCGCGACTGGGGCCGTACCAAAAGTGTCGAGAAAGGATTGAAGGTCAGTTTTCACATGCTCGGTTCGTCCGAGAATATGAATATGTGCCGTGAAAAGGGAAAAGCAGACGCCGTCGGACAACGATTGCTTGGGTGGGAAGCACTTTGGGTTGAATTCACGAATACTTGTGGTCATCAGATTTATTTGTTTTGTTCCATCATGAACGCCAGAAAACTGTCAAGTTGTGCGGACCACCTGCGGACTACGTTCAGTGCGTCTTCAAGTTCCATCGGCCACCTGATCGTTCGAATTGTCGTCTGCTCTTTCAAACGGTTCTGCTTGTCGTCTGCTCTCTTAGACGACGCCGGCCCGTAGACCAAATCTTGGCCAGATACTTGCGATAAGAAGTAAGTGCACGCCTCAAAAGACTTAAATTGGAAGGTTGGTAAGCAGGCTCGATGTAAACAGCAGATACGAGGAGATGTTGATCATTGTTACCAGTGACCATCACCGACTTGCTAGGCCTGATTCGCATGGTCCGATTCTGCTTGCGATTTTCAGTATCGTCATCGACCATCTCAGCTACGGTTCACGCTTTTGCAGCCCGAGCGACGTTGCGACTGAAAATTGCGAGAGAAATATCATCTTGCGAATCAGGCTTTAGCGTACATTCTGCGGCGTCCGCGCGGAATGAATCGCCGCATGTCACATTATTGACGTGAAGTTTTGCAGTGTAACGAGCCTTGTTAATATCGCTGAGGCCGCTCAAGTAGTCAGACATTGCCCAAGAAAACGTAGAATCAACAATTCGAACGCGAAAAAGGGCAGGGGGACTCACACAGACGCCGATAACATCACATTTCAATGGTTTGTTTATGGGCGACGGCGAGCGTCTTGCCCACACCCCCATCGCGCATGCGCGGCGCTGGTGGCGTCCGCTAGGGGCGCTCCGGTTTGTTTGTAAACATGAGTTGGTGTATAGGAAGGCAAAACCCTCTGCCGCGTTGGCCACGACGTCACGGAAACGATGGGACGCTATTGGATGCGGAGGTGGCGAAGGGGTATATAAATCCCTTTGAGGGGCATTTGTCGCTACCTTCTTGACCTGTAACTTACTATAGTGTAAATAATACGTTCCACTAATTTAGAAGTCGAGCTTAGGAGTAAAATGGGCTTGTAATTTTCTACTTTGTTTTTGGGACTGCTTTTATAAACAGGCACTATATGAGCCATTCTCCAATCGCAATGCAAACAACATTCTGTGAGTTTAAACAAAAACTAAAGGTGCTTCTGGAAAAATGAAGCTTATTGTATTGTGCATACGAAGTCGTCATCCTGAAGCTATCGTAACTATGGACAATATTTTAAAAAAAATATGTTCCTTGGCACACCCTCGGTGAATGCGGACGCTATTCGTCAGAATAGACAATAGCATATTCAGGTGCTGAGCCTGGCACCCACGGCAATAGTGTAAATTGGCAATACGCCACCACATTACAGCATGTCATGCAGTTCATCGGTCCAGAATTAAAATTATTAACACCCTTGCAGAATGCCCTTGGTAACAATACGAAAAGTTGAGGTCACTTCCGTTTTCATCTTTTTTTTTTTCGCAGGTTGTACACCAGTGCACCACAGCTACCAGCTCCAATTCACCAACATGTCCCCTCAAGTCTACAGATACGTGGAAGGATTATACAATAGCGTCTATTTCATCGATGAAAACTTGCGTTCGGCACTAAAATACAGACCCCAGCCGAATGACCTCTTCATTGTCAGCTATCCCAAATGTGGGACCACCTGGCTGCAGTACTTGGTCTACAACATCTTCACTGAAGGTGTTCCTCCTAAGGACATGGAAGAGTTCCTTGCGAGGTCGGTCTTTCTCGAATACACCGGAGCCCAGTCCGTTGAAAAGATGTGCCGTCCGGGTTCCATCAAGACGCATTTCCCATTCAGCAGACATCAGTATTCTAAACTAGCCAAGTACTTATACATTGCAAGAAATCCGTACGATTGTTGCGTGTCGTTTTACTACCACACAAAATCGTTTCCCGCGTACTTCTTCGAGAACGGAGCCTTCAGCGAGTTCCTTGACATGTTCCTCCAAGGAAAAGTTGACAATGGAGACTATTTCAACAACCTGCTCTCCTGGTACGATCATCGACATGATCCTAACGTCCTCTTCTTGACCTACGAATGTCTCAAGAGAGACACCGAGAGCTGGGTCATAAAGATAGCGGACTTCATAGGAAAAGAGTACGGCGCAAGGTTCCGAAAAGATGCTGATGCCGTTAAGAAAATAATACAAATGTCCAGCATGGAAACTATGAGGAAGGTTTTCAGCAGGTCTCATGATATACTGGACGAAGCCGGTTTGTCCGTTTATAAAAACTCTAAAAATCCTTCGCAGCCCCTGGAAGAATCGGTGTTAAATGCGATGAAAAAGCCAATGTCGGGTGATTATATACGCAAGGGCATCGTCGGAGACTGGAAGAATCACTTTTCAAAAGAGCAGGTTGTCAGGATGAAAAGCTGGATAGCTCTTAGAACAGCTGGCAGCGACGTCATGAAACTCTGGAGGGATGAGGATCTTCCATGACTGCAAGGCACGACAGGTTTATTTACCTTTAATGTATTCTGATAATTTGCTTAGCCATAAATTTATTTCAATACTATCAGAAATGAAAGAACAAACTCAATCATCTTAAAATTTGTACAGAAACGAGTGACTCGCTTCATCATATGGTACAACTGTTTTACCAGTGTTTCTACTTTAACATATGAACTTACTCAATCTTTTTGCACCATTCAAAGAAAATCTCCCGACTACGCTTCCTTCACAAAATATAGAACTAAAGCAAAGATCATCCCGAGAAAGAGTAATCCTTTCGCTTGAATAACTCTTGTGCCATCAAGGAAATTTTCAATAAAACCGATCCTCTTAATGAATCTTCCTTCCACCATGCCATTACATAATGGAATCATTTGCTATCCTTTATTCTCTCCATCAAAGATGCGAGTATTTGTATTTACTCACAAACCCGTGTTTGCTGAGCCTTATTTTAGTTATGCTAATAATATGTATAAGTTCTACTGCTGTTTCATTCTTGTCTGTACATTAATGATACTATTGCATTTGTCTGTTTTTTTGTTTTTTTTTTTGTATTGCTTTCTTACGTAATTCCCTATTCGAGCCTTTAATGGGAAAATAACTGAATAAAAGTAGAACAAAAACTTCATTCTAATAAAATTTAAAAAACTATTTTTTGAAATTGTCGTTTTTGGTTTCTGGATGAAGATTACAATATTATAAATACGAGGGCTGTCAATGTTCGTAAATTCTTTCACTGTGTTCAGCGGAGTTCAATACGTGAACTCCGCTTGAAAGTGCGGGATATAAGAGGATGTGTTTAGCATAACGTGACCCTCATTACCGTTCCTTCTGTGCCGGCACCTTGCGCAAAAAACGTACCATTAGGAAAACATTTCAAGCTATCTTTTTTTTTTAATTTATAATCAGTCAATGGCACCCCTCTTCTCTTAATACGTGTTTATTTATTTAGCGATACTGCCGCGGTTAAATAAAAGCCATAGCAGAAGTGCATAAAATGTTAAAATACAAATACGTACATGAACGCAGAAAAAGGATTCGGCCCAAGAAAATATGTCCTTACATGCAGTCGTAAAATGTCCAGTTAAAAAAAAAGCTTACTATATCATTGTCAAGTGAATTGCCACCTTTATTGTCTGAGTGAAAACAAAATATTTGAAAACACCGTTGGAATCCGCATTGCTTGATTGATCTGGTGTGATTGAACATGAACGATCAAGAGGATAAAAAGTTTATATATATTTAATCTTTTATATTAAATATGGCACAGAAAAGGGGTTACAAATTTTTTTTTACCCATTTATCACTGCCCAAGCTTCTAATGTCTGGCCGTTGGCTTGTTTAAGCAAGTCCCACGCAGACATGCGGTTTCGGAACTCATTAGGATGAATTTAAAAACTTCTTTAATGCCCTTCAGTCTGATCAGTTCATTTTCCGATTGGATAAACCAAATGGTACAAGTGCACTCCAGCATGGGTCAAATTAGTGTCTTAAGTGTTATATTTTGGTTTCGGTGTCTGCAATTGTAAAGTGCAAAATTGAAAAAAAAAAGATTTTATTTCGCTTTTGCAATAATTAGAGTATCAATTTAGTTATATCCGGTTAAATTACTTTTATATACCTAGCTCAAATGCGGGTGTAAAGTCAGGCTTCCAGTCTGAGTCGAAGAGTTCTGTCTCGGGTCAAGAGCCCTCTGCCAGAGCTCAAGTTTTCTTGCTCGGTGTATTTCCTTACCTATAGGCCATGCATTTTGTCGGCCCCCCCAGCAGCACGGCAATTTAAGATGACATCCTAAAGCAGTGAGAGGCTAATCTTCGATTTCCTTGTTTGGACATGGGTGTAAAGAAAGCTGTAAACGACTTCCGATCCGCGGGCACAATACTTCGCGAATTTTGCGAAGTGTGGATTTCGGGAATATACACGGGCACCAAATTTTCCGGTTGGGAGTGGTATGTTATATATTTCTTACCATGAAACAATGTATTCGCATGACCAATTTTTTCCGTATTTTGCAAATCATTAAATTCGAGAAAATTAAGTCGTTTACACTATTCATCTTTATCAAGCGGAGCCTGAGCAGAGGCGCAATATTGCTCAGCATGAACTATTGGAAGCGTTACAAATAGATGCAAGGGCTTTTTTTTAATTTTATCAGATATGACCAAATACACCTCACTGACTTCCGGGGAGCACTCAAACTTGCATGTAAAATTGGGAGCACCCAGCGAGTGACTGCTTTGGGATACGGGGCGTTCTGTACGACATGCAAGTCATGTAGAACGCCGTTAAGATGAGGCGGTGCAGATCTGCACCTCCTCACTGCAACGGCGTCTGCGACCTAGAAGATATTTGGGGGCGCCACACTTCTGTCATCTTCTCTAGTGTGCTGATCAAAGTGATGGCTAATATCGAGCATTACTTTGGCCACCCTCGGGCTGCAGATAAGACGAACCGTAACATGTACAAGATTCACAACCTAAAGCTGTTTTCTGAGGTGAGGATATACCCCTTTCTTTTGAAACGTCAGTCATCTGCAGCCAACTCCTTTAATTTCCAGGCAGTGCATGCGAAGGGTGCACCACTGCAAATATTGCTGAGGCTTCATCGACAGTACTGCGCAACGAATTTGCCGACCATTGTTGGGGCAGCAGGAGTACAAGATCCGATCCATAAAATAAAACCCTGTTTTCCGGGCCGCGTAGATAAAATACGCATCGCAAAATGTTGAAACTTTGTGTGAATGCGACGCCTGCGGTGGTGATAAAATGTCAAATATTTAGAACGGGACGTTACCAGGATCGAAAGATAAGACAAACGAAATACCTCTACCTAATGTTTCTCAAACAAAGAAATTGTATTGTGGGCGTTTGTGACATTTATATTAGTGAAAAGGAAAAGGCAGAAAGCTAACAACCCGTACTAGTGCCACTAAATAAGCTACGCTTCAGAGCAACGGCACTTGCCCATATTGTGGCTTAAAATCGTGGTTGCCAGTAATCTGAAGCTTTACCTGAAATTACAGGAGGGTGATTTCAGATAAGATCGACCAAAGGGTGGCTGGTCAACACTCTTAAATCAACTGAAATTTTTATATGCTACTGTCTAGTGTCTGGTATGAACAAATCCAAACTTAGTTTTCACCAGAAAAAAAATTTGGAGACAAGAAAAATTCTAAGGCATGAAAAGGTGGACAGTTGCATTAACGTGCGCTGATGGAGGGGGCACGCTTTAAAGTGGATAACTAGAACGGTAAAATTAGAAGAATTTTAATACTTTCTAGAAACAAACTTAGAGTACAGTTTGCTTGTAATATGTAGTAATTATATTTATTTATATTATATCTCGTTTTCTAAAATTTGCCAAACATGCCTGCTCAAACGACAAATGGCAACATTTGGAGGCCTGTATCTCATGAAATAATTTATTCATTATCATATGATTTTCAGATAGTGTTTAATTTATATATGGCTAATATGTAAAAAATATATAAAGTATCTGAGTGATATGACAGTCGAGATATATTTAGGCAAACGTAATGAAAAAATCAAGGAACAAAAACTTCCGACGCGAATAAAAAAAAAACACCTTCGATTTTTTTTTTAATTTGGGTACCCTATCATACTTTATTTCAGCACTCATTTGCATTAAAAACATGTTGCATTATTTGTTTGAGAAAGAAGACACAACTCCCCAAAATAGGGTCCTTTTTCAAAGCTACACTTAGCAGTGCCCAATACGAGAAGTGACTCCGAGTTCCAGTTTCATAAAACTAACACACATCTTTTATATATTTTTTTTCAGATGAGGCCATTGATAACTATAGCAATCGTTCACACAGTAAAAGTGAGAAGAAACCACTGCGTACAAAAAGCTATCATATTACGGACTAGTGATCCGAGAAAAAGATCCTGCAGCCATCGGCCATTGGGAACTTTGTCTACATTATTTTCCTACGACACTATATGCGCCTCTCTCTACCCCTCTATCTCCGTCTCTTTCAGTGATATATATATATATATATATATATATATATATATATATATATATATATATATCACTGACCTATATCTAGAATAAAAACATATTGCGTGTTAGTGTTTTGTGGCTAGCAACAGTCGTCTCCTCGCGAAGATCACGATTACGGCGCAATAGGTGATGGAAGTAGCAGACGACACTCGTCACTTGTTCTGGCAAAACGGCCGATACAACCTTTTTTGGGCATTTACCCGCTCACTTCAACCAGCGAATATGGCCGATGATGCATGTTTAATGAGCTGTCGCGTCTGTCGCCATCCCACTCGCAGACGTCACGGGCAATAATATCAGCCACAAAGAGGCACACCGACGGACAGCAGAACCCCCCAATACTCGAGTCCCTCCTAAATACAATAGAGCGTAAACACTGTCGCCATGTTAATCTAGGAAAGTTTAACATGGCGATAGTATTTACGCTCTAGGTAAGGAAACACATGGCGTGTGGTATGAGCCGGATCCTTACACGAAGTGCAAGGTGAGCCTTGAGAACGTGTCTGCTGCCCTAGCCTCCTGAGACCCTGCGTCCACCAGTGTGGACATTGGGTTTTCAATTGTTGAAAAAAAAAATGGTGCCGCACACAGGAAAGAACTCCTGTCCACCGTCATGGACATAGTCTGTGCTGCCATCTGGAGGAGTATTGAGCAAACACCACTGAAAACAACTCGTTGCTCGCTATTCCCAATGGCGACCTGGAGCACTCGCACGTTCTACGGGTGACGCCAAGATATGTAATCAGTTTACATGATTTACACAAACGGAGGCTGTGTTAATTTATATTTCTAGTGTTTTTGAAAGTTCACAAATGGTTAATAATGCTTAATATTGACAACAGTATTAGCATGGGTTGCGGTAGTCGCTTGTCAAACTGTGTGTCCACGTGGGTGGACACTGGAGCCCAAAAGTTGTGACACGAATTTCACGATGACCATGTTTTGCTCACTATCAATGTCAA